TTCGATACAAAGAAGAACCCTGCTCCAGCTGGAGAAGAGGATCTCCTAATAAACCCTTTTTCTAATGATTCCTTGATGTACTCCTCCATAACACGGTTTTCTTGAACCGATAAGGGGTACACCCTGCCCTTTGGAGGTATAGTGCCAGGCAACAAGTCAATAGCGCAATCATAGGGTCTGTGAGGCGGTAATTTCTCAGCCTCCCTTTTATAAAGAAACCGGGAGAAGCAAGCGGTTAGGAGGCAATTTAGGAGACTTAGATATCACACCCAAGGCCAGTCCCCTATAAGGTCTTAGGTGCGAGAGTTTTCCGGGAGTAAAGGACATTCCTTTACCATATGGTCTCTCCTACCACAGTATAGGCAGAGTCCCTCCCTTCTCCTATGTAATTTCTCAGTATCAGAGAGTTTGGCAACCCCTAATTGCATAGGTTCCTCCTCAGACACTTTAACACTCTCTGGTATATTAACTCTGGGGTTAATGGGTGTAACAAAACGTCTATTCCTGTTCTTGGTATAGAGCCTGTCACGAATTCTATTATCAATATCAATGAGGTAATCGATAAGGTCCTCTAAGGCAATAGGAAGCTCCTTAGCTGCTACCTCATCCAATATCGTATCTGACAAACCTTCCATAAAGGCAGTAGTTAACCCATTGTTGGTCCAATCTACCTGCGAAGCAAGAGTGCGAAACTGAATAGCATAATCAGCCACAGACCTAGAACCCTGTTTAATTCTCATTAATGCTCTCGCGGCATTCTTTGACCTTTTCATTGTGTCAAAAGTTCTACGAAAAGCCGTAAGAAAACTGTTGAAATCATGTACCATAGGCCCATTAGCTTCCCAAATAGGATTTGCCCACTCAAGTGCCTTATCGGTAAGTTGGTGCATAAAGAACCCAACCTTAGACCTCTCTGTGGGAAATGAACGTGGATACATTTCAAAGTGAAATTCAATCTGATTAATAAACCCTCTGCAAGTCTTAGAGTCCCCTCCATACCTAGGAGGAGGTGTTAAATGGGCCGAAGTATTAGGCAAAGTAGATACTTCAGGGAGAAGGGGCGTAGGAGGGTTAGGTGTAGTTGCTGGAACGGTTCTAGCTAGGAGCGTCTGGAGAGCCTGAGCTATTTGATCCATACGGTGATCCTGCTCTACAAATCTTGCCTCATGGGACGCCATCTGTTGAGCTAAATCTGCGGGGTCCATGGCCCTATCGTAATGTAACGAGAATATACCCCTACACGCAGGATCCAGCTAAACAGAGGCAAATACAGAGGAGAGATACGTCTACCGGACCTTAGAATGGCCGGACTCGACGTATATGAGAGGAGACAGAGCCAGGAACAAACCGAGGTCAAGGGCACAGAGAGACAGCGTAAACTAGGACAAGCCGGGGTCTGGTACACGGAAAACAGCAAGCCGGCAAACAGTACAGATAAGGATAAAGCGAAAACGAAGTCAGAATACGAAGCCAAAGTCAATACGAGAAAACACAACTGAACACTACAAGCGCTAAAGGGAACTGAAACAGAAACCACGATAGGGCAAGGAACAAAGGGAAGAAGGTGAGTATAAATACCTAAACATCTAATTTGATTGGTCCCTGTCATATCCACGCCCCCAAAAGGTAAGTGTATGGGGAGTGTGGCATGACAGGGACCAATGGGATGCCTTTTCCAATTTAGGCACCCACTGTCCCTTTAAGAGCGCGCCCGAGACTCGCGGCGCGCTCTTAGTTTCAGGCGGGACACGTGACCGCCTCACGCGGTCACTGCCCGCCCTCCATCCGAAGTAGTTGGATGAGCCGCGCGCGGCTCGTGCAGCCGCAGGACCGCGCGCGGCTTGAAGAGAGGACCGCGACCGGCCCCCGGTTAAGGTAAGTAACGCTACAGAATGGCACCAGGTTGGAGTTCGATACCACAGTCATACGGACGGTGCGGTGGCAGAACGCTGGCTTGACCTTTATCAAATACATCTTGGAATTCTTGGTACTCAGCGGGTAAGGAAGAGGCAGAACATGTGCCCAAAACTTTGACCGGTTTCTGGAGACAGGAAAATGTGCATTGCTGGGACCATGATAATATCTCAGCTTTGCGCCAATCAATTATGGGGTTATGCTTCTGTAACCAAGGGTATCCCAAAACAACCTGGTAATATGGAGAGGAAATGACCTGGAATTGGATCGTCTCATGATGTAGAGCCCCTACAGCCAGAGATATGGGCACGGTTTCTTGGGTCACGTGGGTTGGCTGTATTGGTCTGCCATCGATGGCTTCGAAGGCTAGTGGAAAGTCGCGAGGCTGTAAGGGTATAGAGTGCTTTGATGCAAATGCACAATCTATAAACAAGCCTGCGGCCCCAGAATCAAGAAATGCCCGAGTTTTAATGGATGAATCAGGCCAGGAGAGGATAATAGGCACCAAGGGTTTGCCCACATATATCTTTGGGTCTGCAGAAAGACCACCCAAGATCTGCCCCTGACAGTATCTTGGGTGCGGCCCTTTGCCGGACGAATCGGGCAAAACTTTAACATGTGACCGTGGTGTCCGCAGTATAGGCACAGGCCCTCCCTCCTCCTAAAGGCTCTCTCCTCAACCGAGAGGCGTGAGAAGCCTAACCGCCTTGGCTCCACACAGAGAGAGGACTCAGGACCAGGAGGCATGGGAGGTGAGGGAGGTTTGGGTGGGCAAGAAAAGCTCGGTGCAAATATACAGGAGGCCTCCGCAGGCGCTCCCTGGATGAGGATCTCTCTCGGAGTCTGATGTCAATGAGGGTGACAACTGATATCAGTTCCTCGAGATCTTTAGGTAATTCTCTGGCTGCAATCTCATTTTTAAACACATCGGAGAGGCCCTGTGCAAAGGCAGCCACGAGAGTCTCGTTGTTCCAGCCACCCTCTGCTGCCATGGTACGGAATTCACTGGCATACTCGACAATAGTTTTTGTGCCCTGAGCATTAGACATGAGTAGTTCGGCAGTAGGGGTGGAGCGAGCTGGAATATCAAAAACCCTTTTAAAGGACGCAACAAATTCAGGGTAATTGTAAATAATAGGCCTCTCTGCCTCCCAGAGAGGTTTTGCCCAAGCTAGGGCCTTTTCAGACAGCAAAGAAATCATGAAGTGAACTTTGTCACTGTCTGTAGGAAATGCCTGGGGCAGGATTTCAAGGTATCCTTTAACCTGATTTATAAATTCTTTGCACTGAGCTGGGTTGCCCCCAAAACACTGAGGGAGCGGGACAGACCCAGTCATTCCTCTAGCCGCTACAGGTTTGGGGGCTACAACCGGTGCTAGAAAAGGAAGTGAGGCAGAGACGGCCGCAATCGCAGGCTGGCCGGGTACTGGATCCAGATGGGCATACTGGTCCAAATAGTGGTTCTGCTGGTCCCACCGGGTAAGTAGGTTAGGTATAGGTGTCTTGCCTGTACCATCTGTATTCATGGCCCTTGCGTAATGTCAGGGACCAGGAACCAGACAGAGACAGAATTAGATGCAAACACACCTTTATTAATAAATAACAAATAAATAACAAAAGCAAAGTCCAGGAATCAAGCAGGGGTCAGTCACCAGAGCGGGTAGTCAGACAAGCCAGGATCAGGAGCACGGAGAGCAGCGGAGTCAGGAACAAGGCCGGAGTCAGGAACCAGGAGCAAACAGGAAACACAGGAACAAGGAGACTTCTGGGGAACCTGAAACCACGCAAGGGCAAGGAGGTTCTGGGATTTGCTGCTTAAATAGGCAGCACTGATTAGCAGCAGGGTTGATTACTACTCTCAGGTGAGTAACCGTGGCAACATGCAAAAGGAGCTGATAGTAATTGCAGCTGAAAACTCTTTCACTGACACAGAAAGGGTTGCTGTTTAAAACAGCAGAGAAACCCTGACACATGTCCACTATCACTAGTGCATATTCATGGGGCCCGCTCTTGGGTATTTGTATATGATCAATTTGAATTCTCTGGAATGGGTACATGGGCTTAGCCAGATGTTTTGTAGGCACTTTGATTGGCTTCCCTGGATTGCATTTTGCGCAAATGGCACAAACCCTGCAGAAGTTAGTGATCAATGTTGTTATTCCAGGGGCTTCATAATACTTCTGGATGAGGGCGGCCATTAAATCTTTTGACAGATGTGCTGGTCCGTGTGCCCATTGGACAACTGCTGGGTATAAGTTTTTTTGGAAGGCAGAATTTGAAATTGTTATAGTATATTCCGTCCTTTAAGACAGCCCCTTTCTTCTTCCATTTCTGGATCTCTTCAGGGGTAATTGCGGCTTGCTGTTCCCGCAAAATCCTTAGATCAGTAGGAAGGGTCTGTAAAGTAAAAACAGGAACTTCTTCTTGACCGGACACTTCTTCGTCCACTTCCTGCAAATTTCTTGCTGCTTGCTTAGCAGCCTGATCAGCCAGATGGTTGCCCCTTGCTTCATCTGTATCCAACTTTCCATGTGCCTTGACTTTCAATACGGCCACTTCTTCAGGGAGTAGGAGGGCATCCAGTAGCTCTTTGATTGCAGAGCTGTGTTTGACTGGTGTGCCGGCAGTAGTAAGAAATCCTCTTGTCTTCCATATGAGGCCGAAGTCGTGTGCCACACCTAGGGCATATCTTGAATCTGTGTAGATGTTGGCACGTTTTCCTTCGGAGATTTTGCATGCTGAAGACAGGGCTTGTAATTCAGCTTCTTGCGCAGACATTGCTGGTGGTAAAGATGATGACTTGATAACTTCATCTGTTGTGTTTACGGCATATCCTGTGTGGTATTTTCCTTCTTCATCAGCATATCTTGAACCATCCACAAACAGAGTGAAATCAGGATTTGTCAATGGATTCTCATGCACCGTTGGTAGATGTATGGTCTCCATTTTCATCTGTTTAAAACAGTCGTGAGGAGTCTCTGGGTCATAGTTGTTTACTATGACCAGGCTTTTAAAGTCATTTTCCAGGAAATGGCGTGACCATGCTTCAAGTAGGTCAGTTGTGGGATATTTGGCAATGCCATTTTCCTGTAACTTCGAGTCATCCATGGTGGCCCATAATTTCGCCATGGGCCCGAGATCATTCCATGATTTTGTTTTCAACTTGGTAACAGGGACATGTGGAATAGCAGTATCCCAATGACGGTATAAATACTTGAGTTCTGAAGGTAGTTTGATCAAGACCATGCTATTGCCTTCAGAATCACAATAGAAGTCGTGAGCAGTGAGTTTCACCTCCACCCAGTGATAGAGTTCATCTTCATAGCAAGGTTCAGGAGAGATGTTCGGCTTGTACCATGTGGTACAGAAGGCATATCCTGGACCCTCACAGAGAGGTTTTTGTTCTTTATAAAAGGTTAAATCAGGATGCATCCTCTTGATGGTTCCAGTGAGGAGAAAAATATAGGTTTTGTCCATGATAAACCCATAGTGGATACCCCCCTCAGGGAGTGGAAGAAGAGTGGACGGATTAAGAACTTGACACCTTTGTATGGTGATGTTGTCAGGTAGGGGACAAGGTGGAGTAGAGAGAGGAGTAGGAGGAGGAAAAGGTGGAGTAGGAGGGAGGAGTAGGAGGAGTAGAAGGTGAAGTAGAGGGAGGAGTAGGAGAAGGAGAAGGTGGAGTAGAGGGAGGAGAAGGTGGAGTAGAAGGTGAAGTAGAGGGAGGAGTAGGAGGAGGAGAAGGTGGAGTAGAGGGAGGAGAAGGTGGAGTAGAAGGAGGAATAGGAGGAGTAGGATTGAATAAGAGGAGGAGGGAGGAGAGGAGAAGGGGAAGGTGGGAGTGGGAGGGAGGAATAGGAGGAGTGGAAGGTGAAGTAGGAGGGAGAGGAGTAGGAGGAGGAGAAGGTGGAGAGTAGAGGGAGGAGAAGGTGGAGAGAAGGAGGAATAATAGGAGGAGTAGGATTGAATAAGAGGAGGAGGGAGGAGTAGGAGGAGGAGAAGGTGGAGTAGGAGGGAGGAGAAGGTGGAGGAGGGAGGAGGAAGGTGGAGAAGGTGAAGTAGGAGGAGGAGAAGAGGAGGAGAAGGTGGAGTAGAGGGAGGAGAAGGTGGAGTAGAAGGTGAAGTAGAGGGAGGAGTAGGAGGAGGAGAAGGTGGAGTAGAGGGAGGAGTAGGAGGAGGAGAAGGTGGAGTAGGAGAAGGGGAAGGTGGAGTGGGAGGGAGGAATAGGAGGAGTGGAAGGTGAAGTAGAGGGAGGAGTAGGAGGAGGAGAAGGTGGAGTAGAGGGAGGAGAAGGTGGAGTAGAAGGAGGAATAGGAGGAGTAGGATTGAATAAGAGGAGGAGGGAGGAGTAGGAGGAGGAGAAGGTGGAGTAGGAGGAGGAGAAGGTGGAGTGGGAGGGAGGAATAGGAGGAGTGGAAGGTGAAGTAGAGGGAGGAGTAGGAGGAGGAGAAGGTGGAGTAGAGGAGAGGAGAAAGAGAAGGGGAAGGAGGAGGAGAGATAAGTAGAAGGAGGAGAAGGTGGAGTAGGAGGAGGAGTAGGAGTAGGAGTAGGCAGGGGTGGGCAGGTAAGGGAGCAGACAGGTCTCCATATGGAGGCGTGGGTATGTAGCAGTGGAGGATACATCAGAAATCAGAATTAAGTAGAAATGCAATGGAGGCTGCAAATAGCACATGTACAAAAACTGTTAACTGGCCCTATGCTTTCCCTAGAGAAAAATAATAAAAGGCTAACAAGCACATCTGTCTGTACAGGCCTCGAACGCTTCACTCCGTGGGTATCCCGCAGTGGCTAGTCCACTACATCTCCCACACCAGACTTTTGCTCGTAGAGACAGACGCTATCCCTGACTCTCTCTTTTTTTTTTTTTCTTCAACCTATCATAAAATATAACTCTTACTTACATCACAAATATACATTATCGCAATTTTATGTCTCGCAAAAGGGATAAAACTTTTTTTACTCTTCACTGATAATGTATTAAAACTTACAAAATAGACAAATAACATTGTTTTTCTGCGAGATAAATGAAAAAGATAATGGAGGTTTTGTTAAGCTTTACATTTAGCTATACATTAATTTATCCTTTCTGGTTTCCAGTTTCTCTCTGTTAATGACAATGTACAATGTAATAGAACAGCAGGAAAAGCTAGCAGAATGCTTGGTTGTATAGGGAGAGGTATTAGCAGTAGGAAGAGGGAAGTTCTCATGCCATTGCACAGAACACTGGTGAGACCTCACTTGGAGTACTGTATACAGTACTGGAGACCATATCCTTAGAAGGACATGGATACCTTAGAGAAAGTTCAAAGAAGGGCTGCTAAACTGGTTCATGGATTGTAGGATAAAACTTACCAGGAAAGGTTAAAGGATCTTATCATGTATAGCCTAGTGGAAAGACGAGACAGGGGAAATATGATAAAAGCATTTAAATACACAAAGGGAATCCACACAGTTAAAGTGGAGTCTATATTTAAAAGAAGGAAAACTACCATAACAAGAGGACATAGTCTCAAAAATAGAGGGACAAAGGTTTAAATATAAAAATACTATCAGGAAGTATTACATTACTGAGAGGGTAGTGGATGCATGGAATAGCCTTCCAGCTGAAGTGATAGAGGTTAACACAGTAAAGGAGTGTTTAAGCATGCGTGGGATAGGCATAAGGCTAAGCACTTGTTGCTAGTAACAGATCTAGAATCAATACACTATAATGCCCAAAGTCTCGACTTCTATGCATATATAATAATAAAATATCTGGGCTTACATTAAAAAAATATGTTAGTCAGTCTTTAATCTTGGTGGTTAACATTATCCAATAAAGACAGATTGGAACACACTCCCCCTTATCCATTTGTTAGTAGTTAGGCTCATAATGTTTTCTGGTTCTTTTCAATTAGATCAAAACATCTTGAGACCAATCTTTAATTGTATTACCATTTGTTCAAGAAATCTTTGTTTATTAGAAATTTCTTTTAGCATGTTATCAATTTTTTGTACACAAAGTTAAAACATATTGTTACTTAACACGTGAATCGGTATATATATATCCTTTCTACATATTAACCATCACTTGTCACAGACACTTTTCTGATATAGGGAAACATTAGCAGGATTATTTTAGTAATTGTAACTTTCTTGTTCATAATATGTGGGAATTAAAGAAGACAGCATGTCTTAAGATAGGATGAGCATGATAGGAGTAGATCTCGTCAGCCATGGATGGCCAGAATTGACACGATATATGGGCAGATATGACCTCACTAAGGGCAGAGTGAAGGCACTTAAGGACAACCTTCTTTTGTTCTAGGGGCCATTTTCCTTTAGGGCATACTAAGTCTCTCTGGAGGCGTGGGTTTCATGGGAAGTAACATTCTGTTCGGCAAAATGAAAATCTGAACTGTGGACAGACTTGACGGATTAAATAAGACAGTTGTGAATATTATACATCTAACAGCCCACAAAGCTGTCTCTAGAAACATATACTAACTTAATAACTTCTATTCCTGCATCAGATTCACTCCCTAACCATCCTATCAATTTCTATTGAGATAACAAAATACACAATTAGAATATTTTCTAGCAAAAATTCCATTGCTAAAAATCTTATCAGTAGCTTCTGAATAACTCTACAGAACACCGAAGAGACAGACCTAAATCTCAAGCATGTCACCACCCCCTTCCGCCCCCTCCCCCCCGCGTCTCACAGAAGCGAGGGGCGGGGGGGGGTGTTTTAGCAGAGGGGGATTTGAGTGGAACAAGAGAGAGACTGCCTGCCAGCACGAATTTAATCATGTCAACGCTGTACAGTAACAAGACAGAAGGACAATTACATTACAAAGCAAAAAACACAACATTTATTATTATGATATACATACAGTTCTTAACCCTTTATGATTTATCTCTTCCTCTACCCAACCCTCCTGCTGGATAGCCTTTCTACTCTGTACCATGCTTCAGCAGTACGCAATAAATCATTATCTGTAAGCTTGCCTTTCTTCTCTTTCAGTAATCTACGCCAGCTTTCTGGCTGTAATCTACCACATGAAGGCACAGCAATTTTACACACTTTAGCAATCTTTGCAACATTTTTAACCAGTTCTTCACCTTCTCTATCTTCAACTAAATCACACGCGAGCCAGCCCCTAGCGGGCTTACTCGTTTCCTGTCCCATATCCCCCTATACAAAGCGTCCCAAGTATAGGTAAAGGAAAATGAAACAGAACGTCTACAATGCTCGACTGCCACTAGGAAGGGTGGGTCCCTCCCAGTGCGTCTTCCCAAAACGTAGACCAGTCACTGAATCCGTGTACCCTCGATGGTAACCACGGATTGGAGCGGGGTGAGAAGTGTGTGACCAATCACTTCTCTTTCAAGAGAAATAGGAGTGGATAGTGTAAATAGTACAGGAAGTAAAGTAAAAGTAAACAGTGAAAGTAGAGACAGACCCAGGAGTTTGAATGACTCCACACTTAAGACAACATTTAATACAACATTTCAATTGAAATACAGTGCATGCATCAACAGTAATCCCTTTCCTTTACTCTTGTGGCCACCAAGACCACCTCCCTCAATCTCGTAGTGTCCCCGCTCGGAGAACAACTTTCGTAAGTTTCACTACCAGCGGCCAAGGATAACGACTAACACCGGCCCGAAATCCATATGCCTCCCTCGTTACAGCAGTCCACTAAGTGTGGCCACCTCTATCCTCACTCCCGTAGTGCTCCCTATGGACCCACCCACAAGTCACACTACCCCGTGGTGATGGAGACAACAATGCCTGCCCGAATCCACACACCACAAATAAATTGGAATGCCACCAGCCTCAGCGCTCGAAGCTGGAGGGTACCATAACCTCTGCAAGCAGAGCAACGTACACAATGAGGCTAGCTAGAATATCAAAGTGACGTAACCGGGAAACCCCAGGAGGCAAGTCCCCTCCACAGAATCCCCCAACCCTTCTTTTTCCTTACTACTGTTAGCTAGACAGTACCTAAAAGAAGTAAACAGGAAAACAGGACCCCTTTGGAAAATCCCCACAGGTCCACCCCCCCTTTTTTCCCAACAGTCTGGGCCAAGTGACTCCTAAAAAGGGGTAAAAACAGGCAACAGAAGACCCCCAGGCAACCACCCACGGGTCCACCCCCCTTTATCTCTAAAGAGGGAAAGAACAAAACATATACCACTAGCACACCCAGGCAACAGATAGACTAAATGCAGGTAAACAAATGGGTAACAAGACACCGGGCAAGATATTACCTGTCTTTGATGCCCTCCCGGGAAGCAGTCACAGACACGTGGACGGGTCAATCAAAGGGGCTGGAACATACCGGTGGCTCCTGCAGAAGTCTCTACCGTGTACTCAGAGGTGATCAGTC